TGGGCAAAAATTATGCATGGGCTAAAGAGATGGTTCAGAGGGTAAATTGCTTGCTATACAAGACTAAGGACATGAGTTCAAATCCTCAGAACCCATGAAAGCCTGGATGTGGTAATACATATTTGTAATCGACGTGTTACTATGTCGAGATGGGAGGAGGTCACAGAAGAAATTCTGGAAGGTCCCAGTCCAGATAGGGAGTTGCAAATATCGGTTAAACAACTTGGAAACTTGTCTCAAAAAAGGTAGAAAGTGAGACCAGGGAAGTAGGGTTGTACTCTGAACTTCAAATGCAAATAGTGGCACATACCCCCAAATTCATACATGAACACACACACACAAGGAGAGAGAGAGAGAGAGAGGGAGAGAGAGAGAGATATATTTTTAAAGTATGCACGTAGAATGGTCCCTATCTTGACTGCCATCACCGAACAATAGGAAAATGACTATAATTTCATACTTAGTCCAGTCTACACACAGCACGCAGTCTGATATGTTATTTAGGGTCAAAGGCATCCATTTGGAATTAGGAAAATGCTTTCTGCCTGGAAAATGAGCTAGCCCTTGCTATTTACAGCCAGTGGTCAAAATATCCAGATGTGAGGCCATGGACTCAGAGGCAGTGGTGCGCTGTCTGCGAAGCAAGAGTGAAGAGGAGATTCTGGCTCTTAACAAGGTTGGGAGAATTGTGTGGCTGGGAGAACCAGGTCAACAGGATGTGGGAGAGCCAGTCTTAACCAATTACTGCATCTTCGTGGCTTAGTTTCCTTCTAATGGGTGCAAAATAAACACCAAGATAGGCTAATCTACATGTTCTATCTTTGGTGGGGGTGGAGTTAGGTAGGAGAGATGGATACATGCTGAGACCAATAAGGAAGTAGAGAAATGGTAGAATAACTCAGTGGGCATAAGAATATGTGTGTGATTGAACTTCAACACTGATCTCTAATGCCCTCCAGGTTTTCAAGATTATTCCCGGTGTGGTGGATGGGGCAGTCCTACCCAGGCACCCCCAGGAGCTGTTGGCCTCTGTGAACTTTCACCCTGTCCCCAGCATCATTGGTGTCAACAATGATGAATATGGCTGGATCATCCCCTCGGTGAGAATCAGCTCCAAGGCCCTTGGTCTTCAGCTGCCTATCCAAAAGTTCCATATGATCTCAACCACAACACAGCCTCTCTTCTTACCACTCAGAGCATTAGCACCGCTGACTCATGGAAGAAAATGGACAGACAGACTGTGCAGACTGTCTTGCAGAGAAGGTCAGAACGTATGGTGAGGCTCTTTGGGTACTGTAACCAATGCCGAGGGCTCCCCTGACCCCCTCCCCTGCAGACTACTGCAGAAACAAAAGCAGAACTATGACTATGCTTATGTGTTAGGTGTGCCCAGAAACTGGCCCTTTCCTGGTTTAGCTTTGTCCCATGCCAGGCCTTATCTCTACATCCTCAGGCTGTTTTCTCCATGCCCTAGAACCTGCCTAATCTGATTCTCCCTGATCCTTCTTGCTAGAGGTGGCCTCCTGTGTTTAGTGACCTGTTGATCGAAATCATATAATACATTTTAAATGTAGACCCCCTTTCCCCTCCTTGCCCCTCCCTCCCCCCAGGCCGTGGAACATATTTCAGGTGTTCTGTCATATATGGTCAAGCACTTCTATCCAGATGTCCCTTGGTGGAAGTCCATCCACTGAAGTCTAGTCAGCCTACCTAGATTCACTCCCTTAAAGAACATCTTACTCTGCCTCTCAGTAGGAGGGAACTCATAGGTGGCAGTGCAGATATAGCCAAATACACATGGCTGGAGAGGTCATGGATCCCAGAGAAAACCCTATCTCTGTCATATCTCTAGACAAATGAAATTTCTTGCCATATGTTAAATATGAATCCTTATATTTATAGACAAATGTACCATACACCACTAGTTTAAGAAGTCTCTTCTTACAGTAGATAAAGGCTGCTGTAGAGTTCCCCAGCTGGTCACACACAGGGAATATATGTTTGAGAGATGCCCAGCCCTGAGTGACACATCTACAGTGGAACCTCTAACCACATTCTTTATGGTGTAGGGGTTACCTTCAGAGAGTGGTGACCTGCTAATGAAGGAGTACATGGGAAACACGGAGGATGCCCAGACCCTCCAACTACAGTACAGAGAGATGATGGCAGACTTCATGTTCGTGATCCCCGCACTCCAAGTGGCACATTTTCAGCGTGAGTACATATGTAATGAGGCCTGGGGCCATCTCACATCTGTGGGTGCCAGGTGAGATCTGTGGTGTCTAGGTCAAAACTCATGTCTACATCAGGCCTTTGGCACTTGAGGGCATATTTTCAGTAAATCCTTATGTCTAAGAGAGTGACACCTTATCCAGGCACAAATTAGAAAACAAGTTACTGACACTCAGTTGTAAGTGACAGGGTCACCATTTAATCAAGAAATTCAACACAGCTTGTGCTCTAGCCTGGGCCCCCATACTCAAATGTGAATTGAGATAACTTTATACCAAGGGATGCTGTCACCAAATGTGTGGCAAGACAGCTCCAGGCAATGGGCCACTGTGGCACCATGTGTCCTTGTCCCTAGGTTCCCATGCTCCTGTATACTTCTATGAGTTCCAGCATACGCCTACTAGCCTGAAGAATGTCAGACCGTCTCATGTGAAGGCTGATCATGCCGATGAGATTCTTTTTGTCTTTGGGTCCTACATTGGGGGCATCAAACGTGAGTCTTCCCTGTTTTCCTTGAGCTAATGGGCTCCCAGATGGGTACCTGAGGGATGTCTGCACTCTCAGTCCAGGTGAGGGAACCAAGACTCTGGGCTAGGACAAGATCAAGTACACAATACCTCCAAGCTCAAAAAACTATGAGGGTTAGAATCTGCACCCTTCTCAGTCTATTCTATGAAAAACAACATGAGTGCACATTGGAGGAGGTATGAATCTAGGAGAATTGAATTAGAGGCTCTAAGATGGATACTAAATCCTGATGTGAAAAGGAAGGAGGGAATCAACCAAGAATTCAGGGTCAGGCCACAGTTGGGGTGATGACTCTGGAGCATGAGTGCGCACCTCATGAGGTGGCAAAAACTTGGACCATTGTCTTTCTCATGGTTACAGTTGACCTCACTGAGGAGGA